GATCTTCTCTGAGTTCCTCTTACCCTGGCTGGTTTTTCCTTGATGAAATCACCTCCCCGTTTCCTAGACAATCTGGAGAACTCCTATACATCCTTCAAGTCCCAATGCTTAGGAGAACCTTCCCCTGAGCTCCCACAACACAGTGTTGATTATCTTACTTCCTGTACACACACTCTAGTTCATTCAGACCTCAAATACAGCATTCGTGGTACTTTATACTGCTTATGGGTCAATCTGTCCCTTTTTAGACAAAGGAGCCTTAACCCAAGAGTTTTAAAAAGTCACTGGAAGGGACTTCAAGGCTGGTTGTCAATCCCTAAGATGCAATTTTACATGACTGGGCATCTTACGGGATAGGGACTCTAGCTTCCATGAATTTCCAAAGCACTTCAAGACGTAAACACAGTTCAAGTTCGCTGCACTGAAACTTAAATTCTCCGAGTTTTTATGTCTCTGTTGCCTGGCACAGCACCTGGCCCAGCTCAGACACGTGAAAAATGTCTGCTGCATAAAACGTTGATGGCAATGTGGTCAGAGGGATTCTGAGCTGCTCCGATTTTGTGTTGGAATCATTCGGGCTCAAGAGCTAGCTCTCTCCAAACAAAGAAGGGCAGGTGCCCACCCCAGGAGAAGCCCAACACTTTAAATAGCTGCTACCCCTGGCTCTCGCCAACGGCCTGCTTTTTAGTTGTCTCAGCAATCCAGCACCTAATAATTTATCCTACACATTCATTGGCATGAATGTACAAAAATATAGATACGGAGGAAATAGCAAAACCACAAGACTCAATATGCATGTCGGTCAATAGGCGTTATTGTTTTTTAGAACAAAGGCCAGCAAAATATTTGCAAAGGGCCGGGGAGTAAATATTTTAGGCTTTTAGGATCCCGCAGTTTGTCTGTAGCAATTGCAACTGCTCAGCTCTGCGATTGTAATGTGAAAGCAGCCCTCCACTGTGTGTACATGAATGGGTGTGGCTGTGTACCAATAAAACTTTATTTACAAAAACAGGCAGGGGGCCTGGATTTTGCCAGTCAGTCATAATGTCCTGACCTCCTGCCTTAGAATACTATAGAGTTGTTTCAAATGACTTGTGAACATGCCCTCGCTTGTTTGAATTTACAAAGCAGTATGACCAGCATATACAGAGTGCGCCCTATGGGATCGATTCTGTTTTCAGCACGTTGCCTGTTTTATTTTATTTCATCTCCACCTACAACCACTCTTCACGTGGACAGGTGGCTTAGCCTCTCTGAGCCCCAGTTTCCAAACTGGTCAAAACTGGGGCAAAAGAGGACCACTGCTGCTATGTGTAAAGCATTAGTTAAGTTGCCGTTACATCATGGAAACACAATTAAAGTTGGTTCCCGTCTCTTAAACATTTTTTTCAATGAGCCACTGTTCCACTAAAAGAGAGCATAAAGAAAGCAATGCTTAAATAGCTTTCATTCTGAACATTTTTCTCTGAGGGTACAGACATCTATTTAGACACCGTGGACTTTTTTTTTTTTTAACACATGGTGTGGTGGCATAGTGATGCTTATTATCTTATGTGTGATTAATGAAAGCTGTTAATATAAACAGCGAGAGGACAGGGGCTCTGATTTCCCCAGTGGCTGCTAATTAAGGAGGTGGCTGCTCATTTTCAGGACTCAAAGGGAACTGCTCTGTCTTAGCTGTCTGTAATAATTCATCAAGAAGTGAAATTTTAAGGACTTGACCCAGAAAGAACGTGATAATAAAATAAATCTCTCTTTTCCTTATCATCGTACTGGTAATAACGATCACGACAACACTAGAATGTACTAGAATGCACTAGATGCTTCTCTGTGCCAGGGATGAGCTAGGTGCTTTGCAGGCATATCCTTATTGAATCCTGTCAACAGCCCTCTACAGTCCATTGTTGTGTTCCACTTGTGTTAGGTTCACCTTTCCAATGAGGTAACTAGCCTTACGAGTTATGGAGTGTGAGAATGACACCGAGCATGACCTGGTTCAAGAAGCAACTTGGAGGTTTTGGAGAAACATCCTGTGGGACTCACCATATCTTGTGGATTCTGTATATTGGGGTGTAGGAGTGTGTGTGTAATAGGAATAAGGACTGGAGGGAAACCTACAAACATATATGTGCACAGACACGCGCGTGCAGACACACACACACACACAAACACACACACACACACAAACACACACACACACACACATCCGGTCAAGAAAGAGCTTGTTTGTATTTAATAAAGTATGCTATCAGCAAGCCCGTAATAATTTTGATTATAAGATGTCACGAGCACTAGAGGACAGCAACGGAAACGACACCGCACGGCGTTGTGTGTTGGGTCTCGGTGTGCATGTAGAGACAGACAGACGAGGGACAAAAGGTACAGCCCAGGTCTGGTTTCAAAACGCTGAATACACGCCAACGTTTATCCATGCATCCACTCGCACGTGCGCAGCTCACCGGGAAGGGGAGCAGTGATGACCTTGGGGATCCTATGGGGAGCAGTCACAGGACTAGGTGACGGATTAGGTGGGGCGAGCCTAGAACAAGATGAAGTTGAACAAGACGCCACGGTTTTCCTGGTTTGATTGAGCGGATGGCTGATCACATCACAGATGAGCCGGGGGAGCAGAGGTATCCGCGTGGGTTTGGGGGAAGGTGATTAGCTCCATGCTGGACATCCCAAGCTTGAGGTGCCTGGGGGGACATCCAGGAGCAGATATGAGGAGACACATATGAGTGTTTATGGGCCTGGGGCTTAGGGAAGAGGCATGTTAAAAGCTGAGGCGTGAACTAAGGGTGAACCCTGGAACATACTCATGCCGCAGGGCTGAGCAGAGGAAGAGAAGCGAGTAAAAGGAAGGAAGAGAAAGACGGGACCTGTTTCACAGAATGATGGCGCGATTAAGACGGGGAAGAGGGGCCTGGATGGGGTGCCTGTAGTGGGGCCTTGTGGTTAATTACAGTGGCCTGGTCCCTTCCCATAACTGCACTGGAAGACCACTCTGAGCTCCTTTTAAAGACAGCTCAGTTTTTGCAAAGAGCAAGGACTTTGGCTTAGGCAGACCTGGATTTAAGTCTTAGCTCTACAACTTTCTAGCTGTGCAGCCTTAGGTAAGCCTCTTAGCCTCTCTGAGCTTCAGCATTATGAGCCATAAAATAGGACTAATGATCGTTGGCTCAGAAAGCTGTATCAAAATGGCATCTTGACGTGTGATCCATTCCCAGTATACATTTTCCCTCTCACTTCATTATGTGTTTGTATGAAGGTACGTGTGCATGTGTGTGTGTGTGTGTGTGTGTGTGTGTGTAGTTATAGGTAACAGAAAACGAAAGACAAAGGGATTTTTATGGGCTCAGGTGACTGAAAATTCCAGAAGAACTGGCTTCAGAGAGAACTGGATTCAGAGATTCAGATGAGGTCAAATCTTTTACTTTTCTTTTCTCCGTCCCAGCTCGGCTTCCCCTTGTGTAGGCTCCATTCTGAGGGAAATATCAAAACGGTCACTTGCAGCTCTGGCCTGACGTCTCATCCTTTCAGCAACATCCACCTGAAAGGGCATACCTCTCTCGCAGGAGTGCACAAAAGTCTCAGGGGAGAGTCTCCACAGATTCCAAAATGTCCAACTCGAGTCACATGCTTATCCAGAACCAATCGCTGACCGGCAACGCTCTGACTGGCTGAACCTGAGTGGGGTCACGTGACATTCCTAAAACTCAGCCTCGCAAGGGCTGAGCGTGGGCAAGGCCTGGCACTTCCAGGAAGACTCAAGTTTCCATTAACAGAAAACTAATGACTGGATATTGAGCTTGTGCCCGCTACAAAGGACCAATTCAGTGTGTACGTGCACAATTTTCTTCTGGCTCCTGGTTTGCTAAATGTGTTTTGAGTTCATTTCTAGCCCATTCATTCTTTTACTCATTTGTGACTTCAGGAAGGAGGCAGTGAGCCTCCACTCCCTGCAGAACAGCGTTCTCACTGGGGCAGGCGCGGCAAAGTGGCCTCACCCAGGGTCCCTAGCCCCACGCTCCCTCCCTGGGAACTCAAGAAGGATGGCTTCGGCCTCTGCTGACTCAGCGAGTCAACAAGGACCTCTGACACCTCCTGGCCTTTCCCGGAACCTTAAGAAGGAAGAGGAGACAGCCTCAGAGGGCAGGTTTAAAATTAGAAGGGAGTGCAACGCTGCCTGTGGTTCTTGAACGTCAGCCATTTGGGAGGAATGGGAGATAAGGTGCTCAAGAGACAGGAAACATTTATTTAAGATTCCTATCACACTGGGAAGCTGGAGGGGGAGTTCGGTTCAGGGGAAGAACAGGATGTTGCCAGGATCCGGGGCAGGGCCAAGGGCAGGAGGGCATGGAGGGAACGGATATTGGAGAGGAGAGCTCATCAGCTTGGGTTTTTGGCGAAATGGTTTGGAGGGATCCCAGGCAGGAAGTCAGCCCTGGAAGAGGCCCCTTGGGGGTTCAGGTCTCTTCGGTGACAGAAGGGAGATAGATGGTCTCCTCAAAGACCTTGGGTCTTGTCAATGAGGCTGGTGTGTTTCTGGGTGGTCCCCTAGAACGGGGGTCTCATTTAACTCTTGTGGGAGCTCTCAGTTCCCTGTTCCGCCTGGAGTCCTTCTGCTGGTCTCCCTAGCTTGGAGGCCACAACACTGGCCTCTGGAAGGGCACTACCCCGCAGCTCCAACTTGCCCTGGAAGGCTGCAGGAGGTTAAAGGCCAGACTGGCTGACTCAGCCCTGGGGCCAATACCCATCCCATCCTCATGGTGGTGAGGGCTGTGGTGCCGAGTCCCACTGTGTCCCTTTGCCCTTCTGGGGGAAGCGCCCGGTTTCTCCAGTATTCAAAAAAGACCCCATAGCGAAATAAAAACCTGCTGAAAGAAGTCCATGCAGAGGCCACTGGCAAAATGAAAAAACACAACCAACAAACACCAAGGGAAAAAAAATGTAATCATAATTTTACATAACCCACAACTGCATTGCTGTGGTGAGCCAGGTACTGCCACGAGCCTTGGACATCCACGAACTCATGTTGGTCCTTTTGACAACCCTAAGAGATATTTTCTCCACGTCACAGCACAGCCCAAGAAACCACGGCACACGGGGGTTCGGTTCCTTGTCCAAGATCCCAGCTGCTAAGTGGCAGACTGTGGAGAAAAGGAGATGGTGCTAACCGCCTAACCGATAAGGGGCTGGGTTTGCAGCTGACAAAACCGCAAGTTTGCAGGGGACTTCGCCTCTCTGAACCTCCATTTTGCCACCCTAGAAAATGGGGGTGAAATAGGATCTGAAAGTTTTTAACAAGAAAATATATAATTAATATGGTGCCTTAGTATTTACTAAAAGCAACAATAAACATTCAAGTTTTGTTCAAGGCAAAAGTTGTGTTATTATTGATTTAAAGATCCCAAGGACCTACCATAGCAGCTGTCAGGAGTTATAAAGGGCTCACTCCTGACAAGAGAAGCCAGAGGCCCCAAGGAGCAGGGCTGAGATATGTCCCACCCTCACCCTCCCCGCTGGCCTCTTCTGCAGGCACAGCTGACAAGAGCCCGAGGGGACCTCTCACCCACCCACACCCAGGCCTCTGAGGAAGTGTCTGGACCACAGCGGCTGATCAATGATGGAGTATTTGCTCAGCTCCACACCCACAGTCCAACTGGAGAGACACCCTTGGGTTCAAGGATAAAGGCTTCCAGGAAATGTGGCTGGGGCTCCAGACCATCAGTCACTCAGTAACTGACCACCTGGTCTCTGAGGACAGAGTGTCTGCTTCTTTTTGCTCTTTCAAGTAGCAGCCACACACTAGTATTATTACTGGTATGATTTTTGTCACCATTGACCGAGTGCTCTCCAAGTTCAGGGTCCTATGCTAAGTACTTTACATGCATTTCCTCCCTTAATCCTCACTATAAGGCTGAAGGTTAAAGAGTATAATTTTATCCGGTTTTTTTTGTTTTGTTTTGTTTTGTTTTTTAATTTTTGTTGAGGAATTGGGGAGGGAAACAGTGTTGGGGAATTGGGGAAGAGAAACATTGTGTTTTTTCCAGGATCCATCAGCTCCAAGTCAAGTTGTTGTCCTTCAATCTTAGTTGTGATGGGCGCAAGCTCAGCTCCAAGTCCAGTCGCCGTTTTCAATCTTAGTTGCGGGGGTGGGGGGGGGGTCGCAGCCCACCATCCCATGTGGGAGTCTAACCGGCAACCTTGCTACTAAGAGCATGTGCTCTCACCATCTCAGCGGCAGCTCAGCTCGGGCACAGCTCACTGGGCCATGTGGGAATCGAACCGGTGACCCTGTTGCTCAGAGCTCACGCTCTTAACCAACTGAGCCACTCGGCCGGCCCTATCCCTGTTTTATAGCCTGCTTAGAATGGAAATTCATTTGCCTGAAGTCACACAGCTGGAAAGCAGAAGACATGGGATTTGAACTCAAGCCATCTGACTCGAGTCCATTCTTGAGGCTACGACACTTGTGCGCTTTAACAGGGGTTCTCTTGACCAGCCCTAGCAGCCAATTCCGTGTAGCCTCCTCCAGAAACCAAGGAGGTGACATTGGACAGTCAGGTTATAGGAGGCAGCCAGGGTCACATGGATCACTGGGGAGTGACACAGCTTCCGGGATCTCACAAAGGAACTGGGTGGAAAGCATTTCAGCCAGAACACAGCAGGCGCAAAGGCCCTGAGGTAGGAACAGATTCATCTTGTTCTCATTCATTTCTAGGTCTCCTCCATTGAAATGTTTATTTACCATCCTGGTTTCTACTCCTCCATCTTTTGGAACACAGTTAAGTTGTCTCCCTCTCCAGGAAGCCTCCCCTGAACTTGGGCTAGGCGGGGTTCCCTGTCATTGCTCTCATGGTCCCCGTTCTTCCTCATAAACCATTGCAAACTTCTGTTTACTTAACAGCCTGGGATGTCTGCTTACTGTTGGTCTCCTACATGAGATTATAAACTCTAAGTGGAAGGAGTGCTTGCCTTGTGGTATCTACGCCTAGAACAGTGGCACCTAGCAGGTTCTCCAACAAATGTTCATTGGCTGGCTAGTCTGAGGAGGCCATGTTTAGAAGATTGGATTGGATTCATTTCTGGACGCCCTTGTTTATTAGGGGAAGGCGTGCATGTCACGTCTTAGGGAAGGGGGGCTGCCCTTGGAGAAACTCTTACACCCATGTACAAGGACACATACGAGTATGTCCATTATTTGTGTCAGAAGAAATTGGAATCAACTGGTGTCCACCAGCCTCGGGCTGGATACACGTGACGCCATGCGCGCACATGTTTTAAGACCACAGTCAAAGTGGGTGAACCAGAGTTACACATGTCAACGGGGGGCTTTCTCAAAACATGAGACGGAGAGAAAATTCTGGTCACGAAGTGATTCATATCCCACTTCAGAAACTGAAGACACCCAAGAGGCCCTCCATAGTTTTACGGATTCATATATAAGTATGTAAGAATCATATTGAAATGGGGGTGTGTTTTCTGAGCTCATGATAGTATGGGCGGGGGTGGAGATGAGGGCGTGGAGAGCTGAGGCAGGAACTGGACAATGAGAGGGATTTAACTTTCCCAAGATGCTCCCATAGTATTTAAGAAAGTCCGATGGGTTTGTGCATTATCAAGTCATTTCAAAATGGATGAATGTAAAAGAGGGACCATTAGAAAACATGCCAACACATTCCTGATAGCGAATCGTGGATGGTAGGAATATGGGTGGGTCTTATTTTCTTCTTTCTATTTTGTTTTTTAGTTCTGTGGTTTCAGAGAGCATAGAGGGAAGGAGGGAGGGAGGGAAAGAAGAGAAGAAAGAACATGTACAGGGGGAAGACACGGGACTCAGGGAGTCTGAAAACAGCAAATGAGCATTAGTTGTAGGAATGGAGGTTTCTGATCTGGGAAAAATGCAAACCCCACCTTCACATATTTTCAAGGAAAAATAACTAGGGCAAATTTAAGAAGCTGGAAGATCAAGCAAATTTTAGCACAACATACTACAAAAAACTTCTCATGAAAGACTTTCAAATACATGTTACCTACCTAAACTATCCAGTAATACGCCGTCTTGAAGAACACCGTTTAACACTGCCAATAAATTCAGAGCATTCTTCTCTCTCCTGCCCCCCAGGGATAACCACTGCCGTCAGTGTGTTAATTACCTCTGTAGACTTTTTCAAATACCTTTGCACGCGTGTATTTCCCATAGGCAATGCGAAGATGAGATTTGTGCTGCTCTTTTTGAACATGCATAGAGCTAAACTATGAAATGTTCAGCAGCAAGCGCTTGTCATTCGCCATTGTGTTTCTGGCATTTATCTATAGGGATCCGTATAGGCTTAGTGAATTCTTTTTCGTGGCTATATAACGTTCCACTGAAGGAACGTATTACATTGTATGCATCCACTGCCCTATGGGGGGGAGGAAGTAGATGGACTCACATTTTTTGCTGTTACAGTGTAGCTGTGAGTACCCCTGCACACGCTTTCCTCATGCATTTCTGGGCAGTAAAAAGAGCACATTTTCTAGTTTAACAGATTCTGTCGATTTGCTCAAAGGAGTACTAGGTAACCATGAGCCATCTGGGACTAGATTAGGCCACTTTGCAAGATTAAGTCCCTTTTCTCTGCAAGTGTCCAAGCATTGGCTGGACAGCCTCTTGGCACGGCTGTATTGGAGGGGATGCTAGCCACTGAGGTCCCTTCCAACTGTGTGCTCCTGTGATTTCTCACCCGCCCACAGTGGGACCTCCACTCGATACAACTCATGCCAAGAGCCCCAGCTGCAGTCAGGAGGAAAAGCCGCCTTTCTATGGGTTTGAAGGAGTTGTCAGGGACATTTCTGCAAAAACACATGTTTCTTGTTTGTGTATGTGTGTGTGTGTGTGTGTGTGTGTGTTATATTTTATTCCAGCTGAAGACATCTTAACTAAATCCTGTGTTTTGTCAGGGTTTGGACCCTAGGTCCAAATCCTGGGTCTGTACTCAGTAGCTGTATAATCTTCAGCATGTTCTTCAATGTCTTCGTGCCTCAGCTTCTTCGTCTGTAAAATGGGCAAATTCATGACTCTGTCTGACAACCGTTTTGGTGATTCCACTGGCTGATGAACATAACTGGCTCTGATGACTGGCGAGTTTCACCGCGCTGTAAGGCGGGCAGGGGGAGGAGGGGTCACTGCGCAAACGGGCTGCCTTAGGGAGCCATCTTTGCCGTTGGACAGGAAGGAAGCTCAAGGTTTAACCAATCCATCACACCCATTGCCGTGGCCAGCACAACCTTTTGTTCAGTGTTTTATCTTTTTCCAAGCATGTCCACTATCTCATCTGTTCATCAAAGGTCCCTGCAAGGATGTCAAGCAGAGGATGAGCCCAAGGAGAGATGACTCAGGGATCTGAAAGTCAAGGTCAGAAGCTCCGCTCACCAGCAGCCCCCTGGGCTGAGTTTCTCCACTGATCTTGGCCTGGGAGGAGGCTTAGGCTGTCCAGGCCAGGCCTGAAATACCCACAGAGAGACTTCCTTTCCCCTGAGCATGTACTGGGCTCCTCAGCCCAGCCAGATGGGCTGCAGATGTGAGCTCTCGGTTGCAAGGGAAGACGAGGGGATAGGCAAGACGGATCCCCTTGCATGGGATGTCAAGCCCCAGGCTCAGGTCCCACGATGCCATAGGTCCCCTGGCTCTCTCTCTCTGACTCAAGTTGACTCAGTTTTGGAAACAAGAAGGTGGTGCTGAAGGTCTTGTCATGCTCCTGCGTTGCTGGTAGCTGTCTGTCAGAGAACATCTCAGGCAACAGCTATGTCATCTTGCAGCCTTCAGGTCAACTTGGACACACGCCACAGCCTCCTGTCATCCCTGCAGCTCAGGCCAGCCCTGGAGAGCCCACCAGGTTACTGAAGGGCTTCTGCTTCCAAAACATCGCAAGCCCTCCATTGCCGTCTCCTCCTCCAGCCTATTCCAAATTCAGGGGCCCTTCCCTCAATGCCCTATCTTCAGAGTAGACAATATTGACGTTTATCCTAGGGGACCCATGCCACCGCCAGCCCACTCACAGTGGGCCTCTTGGGAGTTCTGCATTGGAACTCACAGTTTCCTGACTCCCACAAAGGCCTCAGGGGTTTTGCTTCCGGACATGGTTACGGAACAGGCTCTGGCTCTGCCAGACCTGACTTCTGCCGTCCGTGCTGTGTGACTTTGGAAAACTCACATCACGTCTCTGGTCGTGGGCTTCCCAGTGGTAGAAAGTGGGGAATCATTACCTTGCAGGACTGTGGGGGAAGATTCAAGAAAACACTTTTAAATGCCCAGTAGAGAGGCTGGCATAGAGTCCACGCTTCCTGAGGGGCTGTCACTGCTGTTCTGTTACTATTATCGTTGCCATCCGTTGTCGCCGGTGTTGGGAGCTGCCTCCCTCCTTTCCTCAGTCCCCCCATTGCCTCTATAGCCAGACAGACCTGCAATCTAACCACAGCACCCCCTTACAGCTGTGTGCCCTTGAACAGGTTATGTGGCTTCTCTGAGCCTGCCTCAGTTTCCCCATCTGTAAAGAGAGGTTCAGAAAGCTTAAGTGATGTCCCCGAAGTCACCTGCCCAGTGAGAAATTTCAACCCAAGCCTTGCGTCCGAGAGCCCTGCTTACTTAACGATTACGAAGCTACATTTTGCCCCTGTGTATGTTTGCCTCAGGGGAGGCCCACTATGTTTCTTAAATCTCACCCGGAATGAGGACTATCTGAAAAGGATGTCTTCTTCAAATCCTAAAGTTCTGCCTGAAAGTCTACGTCCAGCTCACCAGGCCACCAGTTTACCCTGGAAAAAAAAAAAAGAGAGAAAAGAAAACTAACAGAATCCGTGTGAGAGAGGTCTTTGGACTATGTGAGGAGTGTTCATGAAGGGAGGGTTTGAGGGGGGGGCCACTGAAATTTTCCCAACTCGAGGAAGGACCTTGATAGCATCTGCACATCAAAGGAAGCGAAGGCTTCAAAGGCAGGCTCTCTGTGCTGCTCTGCACCCCCCTCCCACTCCCATGGTCACGGCTAACTGGTTCACTTGGGGACAAAGCCAGAGGGTGCAATGCGAGGAGCTGGGGGTTTTGTCGCAAGAACCTCGTTCTCATAGGGGTGAAGAGTGTGTCCTGGAGCCTGACACCCCTAGCTGTGTTTCTCCCCACACACCTCTCACTGGCTCAGGGACCCCAGACCCCACCTGCTCTGTGGTGTGGGATTCAGGGCATCTGTGAACTTGGTCGAGAAGAAAATATAACACATCTTTGTTGTCACTCACCTCAAACTGAAATTTAGCATTTTTTTCCCCCCTCATGATTATCGGCAGCAGACACGTACGTAGCAGGATCAGCAGTCCCTGCGTTTGTCACCAACAGAAATCACAGACATTGGCATGTCGGGTGACGGTGTCACAGAATTTAGCGTCCCTCAGTCTCTTGACACCTCTGCCAGGGAGCTTGTCGTTAGAACTGCTGCTACGACTTGTCACGTCAAGAGTTGATGACACAGCCCAAATATCACGATGTCACTTCTTTTTTTTTTTTTCTATTTGTCGTTGGTTTCCTTAGTAATCCCACATATTTTATGGCTTTTTAAAGCACTGTTCTGAGATGGAGTTTCTAGCTTCGGCCTACTGCCGAAGATGTGTACCCACATCTATGGTGTGTAGACACACACACACACACACACACACACACACACACACACACACTATTAAGAATCCCTGTTGCCATTAAACTCTCTCAGCCTTGGTTTTCTTGTCAATGAAATGGCCATTAAAAATCCCTCCTTTCTAGCGCCTTTGTGAGGATCAATATTCCAACGTGTGTGAAAGAACTGGGCGTATGGGAGACATTCAATCAACCCTAGCCTCCCTCTTTCTTCTCGACAGCTGCCTTCCTACAACTGGGGGCCAAGAACCACCTGCCGTCCGTGCTCTCCCATGAGACCCTCTCGCCGCACACTGGCTCACGCCGGCCTCCAGGAATCAAATGCCCCTCCCGTGCTGCCACGACACACGTCCAGTCAGATGGAGGTTGACAAGGCCACAAATATTTGAACTATCTTTGGGATAACACAGAGCATTGACCCCAAAGTATGTGCTACATCTGCCGAAAGTTTATCCTAGAATAACAAACGTGACAGCTAGCAAAGTGAGGGGAGAAAGGGCCCGATAAGATAAAAGGCACCTATGGGGTCCGAAGGCCTGGCCTGTGCAGGATGAAAGAAATTCAGGACCGAGAGTAGCATGAGGAAAGTAACACCATCGAGTCAAACAGTCCGTGTTCTAGAAAGCTCCCAGCATTGGGGGCATGGTGTAGACATCCAACCTTGTGGCTGGGTGACCCTGGATGGGCCAGGTGCTAATCTTACCGTGTGCCTGAACAAATTCAAGGAGATTATTGTAAAGCAGGGAACATGTGCCCGGAACAGAGCCAGCCTTCAGAAAATGTGGCTATTGCTGTTCGTGCTAACGACATCATTATACTGAGATAGAGAGTTTAGTTAATTTCCCAGACTCAGTGGTCAGCGTGTCTGCTTTGCCAGTTAAAATTGTGTGACCTTGGGTTGCACTTTGTGCCTCAGTTTCTTCGGTGTGCTATGGGATAGCATTAAGAATGCGTGGGGTGGTTCTGGGGATGCATTGAGATAATACGTGAAAAGGACTTAGGCCAGAGGCTGACCCAAAACCAACCTGCAATATACGTTAGTCATAGCCATGACTATCGTCATCATGATCGCCATAGGTTACTACACACTGGACATAGAGAGAGGGGGCCCTTGGGGAGAAATGAATCCAGGGAAGAAGTGTAGAATTTTTGGCTGACACAGATACCTAGACCTGGGGTAGGCAGACTACCTGTCACCTGTTTTGTAAATAAAGTTTTATTGGAACACAGCCACACCCATTCATTTATGCATTGTCTATGGCTGCTTTCATAGACAACACGGAATTGCGTCTTCTCAGGTCCTTTAAGAAGAAGTTGTCATCCCCTAGTATGGAGGAATGGTGGTATCTCCACAGGATGCCTCAGGAGGGATGTTAATGAGCCATTCGATGCCAGTGAATTATTATTTTTTTTTCTGTGTTGATTGATTTACCCTGCTGGGAAGAACCATATCCTTTCTTCTGTCCATTCATCTGTACATCCACCCACTCATCTATTCATCCAATAAACACTCAGAGCTGTGCCAAGTGCAAGGGATAGAGAAATGAACTAACTCTGATCAGAGAGGTGGACAAGTGAACGGACCATTACAGTTCAGTGTGGCAGAAATTGGAGAGCAACGCGGGTTAGCCCACACCATGCTTTCTATGAGTTAGACAGAGATGCCCCACCTGAGAAGCCAAGGTTTCCTAAATCAATGGATCTCAGGCCCCATTTGCCACTTTGGCCTGGCCATTTGTGCAGTGCGCAACCTTAACCACCGTGTGTGGCAGCCCTGAGATCAAAACACTCCAGTGTGCAGGTGGGGCCTGGGGAGGGCAAGTGGCATCAGGGAGGAAACCAGTGTAGAGGTGACAGATGGAGGAGAAAATGGGAGCTGAGTCTTGAAGGGGGACCGGGGGAGAGGGAGGTAAAAGAGGACAGGGGACAGGGAAGTCACGTGCAAAGAAACATGTGACCGGAGAGGGGGTCAGAATGAGGGTGGGGAGGGCCTGGTGCCACATATATGACTATATCATACATTTCTACCAGAATAATTTCAGACCACCATCGTCTTATCAACTCCCCTCAACTTTATATTCTGACCCTAACTCAGATCTCACTCCTCTCCGTCCTCACCACCACCCTGGACAACTGCCAAAGCCATCTCAGCGGTCCCCACAAGCATCTCTGCTTTGCCTCCAGAGGCATCATTCTGAAATCAGCCTGATCATGACACTCCGTTGCTCTAACACCTCCCATGGCTCCTCTGTGCTCATCGGTCAAGCCCAGACTCATTAACGTGTGGTTCTGGCACAATCTCCGCGTCCCTGTACCTCCCAGATGCTTCCGCAGGGATTCCATTTTTCTATTTTATCTCCTCACACATTGGAATTTCTGTTTCTCTACTTTCTCATATATAGAGCTAGCTAGATAGATAGATGATATAGTTGATAGATAGATAGATAGATATGATATATATCTAAATAGATCTTCAAGTAAACACTATATAGATACTTCTCTCAATATGTAAAGTCTATGTCTATCTATAGTATTTACATATATATATATATATATATATATATATATATAATTTGCATATAGAGAGAAGTAGAGATAGAGATAGATAAAGATAGAGACTTCAAGCCACCTCGGTTCAGGGAAGGCCACCTAGAAAACTGCTAACAGGTTTCCCAGCTTCTGCCTCTGCCTCCTGCAGTCTATTCTGCCAAAAGTAGCCAGAGGGATCGTATTAAAACCTACATCAGGGCCTGTCAGTCCTCTGGTCAAAACCCTCCCACAACTCCCCATCCCTCTCAGAATGGAAGCTAAGTCTGTTCCACAGCCAACAAGCAGCCCTGCAAAACCCGGCCTGCACCATTTCTCCAACTTCATCTCTCACTGGCCTTCCCCTCATTTCACTCCCCTTTGCAAGCCCTCTTGCAATGCCTCAGACATTCCACTCACACTCCCCCACTTCCTCAGGACCTTTGCATGGGCTGTTTCCTCTACCTTGGAGACCCATCCCACAGATGTCTGTAGGACTCTCTCTCTCTTGCTTTCTCACCTCTTTTGGGACTTTGTGCAAATGTCACCTTCTCATAGACATCTCCTCTTATAACCCCATTTAAAATGGAAAACAGCTTCCCAACTCTTTCCTTTTGTTTGTGTATCTTTATCACACATATTAACATACAATACAACTTAATCATTATTCTTTTAACATCTGTTTCCATTCCCATGAGATCTCCATGAGAGCAAGGATTTGTGTCTGGTTTACTGTAATAGCTTCAGCAACTCTAATAATCCATGGTGCATAATAGATGCTCAACTAATACTTGGGAAATGAATAAATCACCTCCTTTATTGCAGTCAGTATACCTCTATTAATGCATCCATGAAATACTTTGATGTATTTTTTTTTTAGCCATGTCGCACTACTGGTGTGCCCTGATGTTTTAGTTGTCACAAACCTTATGGTTTTTGTTTCTCTCTGTGTGTTACATACCATGGTAATTGCTCGGGGAACCTTTCTGTGCTCCCAGAAGCCAACAGTGCAGACAGGGTTAACTCTAGGCCTTACCCCTCACCGGGTGTCCCAGAGATCCTCCTCTTGTCCTAACTTGTTGATTTTCTTGCCTTCTTCTGCCTTTTCTGTAGTTTGTTTAACTTGGACTGTGCTTTCTCTGTTTTCTCACTGTTGTTTGCCGCCCTGGGCCTCTGGTTTGAAGTCAGCCGCCCAATGGCCTCGACACCGTCACCTCTCCTCCAGCCACCAGCTGCGCTCCACACGCCACCAACACTTTGGCCAGGGGGAGGGGACAGATGGCTCAATGATTTCATTGCAGGTCAGCACCCAGCCCGGATTAGCCGGGTGGACAGCGGTATTGACAGTTTGGCTGACCCTCGTTTGACAGGCTGACATTCCCCATATTTCACAGGCCGGCGTTGGATGTGTATCAAAGAGACCGTCAGGTCACCAAACAGCTAATTAAAGCAATAAAGAGACAGGAAGGCGGAGTGGGCCCTTGCCCCCTTGGGAGCCTGAGACCCTTTGTAGGAACCTGTGCTTCCTTTTCCCTGAGATGCACAGTTTAAAAGGATATTGGAAAAGGTCCCAGCACGCCCTTGGATCCGAAATAAGATGATAAAT